GGGGGACAACGCTCCAAGTCTCTTCAATCTCCATTCTTCGACCGCATCTGCAAGGTCATGAACCCACTTTGGAGGGTCTGGTGGAACTCTGTCTAATGGTGCGTCCGACCATAGAGCTTCTGGAATATCATGTTTGGCTTCTTCCACACTGTTTTCCAAATCATCCTCATAGGACCACAAATCCTCCTGGCCTATCACCTGGTCCATGTGGTGGAAAATATCATCTCCAATTTGGGTCATTTCCAGCCTTCTCTCAGCTCCTTCATTGGGCTTCAATCTTTTCGACTCAGGTGACTCAGCTTGGAGGTCATGAGTAGTCTTGAACGTAGTTGGCTTAAGCTTCTTCCCATCCGGTTCTGGACTTCCATTGGTTAGTGGAATCTTTTGCGCATTTGGTCTGGGCGTAGATGGTCCCGTTTGATTCTTCGCTTCATCTATCAGAAATGGATCTGGTGGGACGTGAATTAACTCTGGAATCATTTCTTCCTCATACGGCCGTTTCTTGTCTTCTCTCAATTTCTCCTCCTCAGTCAACTCCTTGGGCAACTCGTCAACTTCCTCTTGAGCAACATTGCTTGACCTTGTAGTTGTCTTCTCTTCCTCCATCAAGTCCCTGGCTTCTTCCAGCTTTCCTGCATAAGTTCGGCCAAAAACAATCACATCTTATGCATGTTGGTCACCAATCGGCCCCTTCTGTTGGCCACCAACCATGGACGCAAGCCGTTTCGAAGGAACTATCCATCCTCCAAAGTTCTGTTGGTATTCCCAGGAATATATTGTGAAGGATTGGAAGCAAACTAGATATATATTCCTTTTGCAAATTCTCAACTCGCCGAAGCGACCTGCTCAAGAAGACTCTGTTGCCGTCGCCGATGATCCAATTGTCCTGTAGTTCAGTCTTGCCCAAATAGATCCCAATCTTCCACCGAGGATCTGCCTTGAACCCTTGCCTGGGTTTGGTATAGGCCAGACACACTTCTCCATAAGGATTGATCTTGCCATCGCAGACCTTCCCATACAAAAGCTCATGACTTGTCACGCCTTGGCCAGCTTGGAACTTGTTGAACAACCATGCACTGTGTCTACATGCCCATGTCCAGAGGGGGTATCGTCTATTGAATCTAAATTCAATATGTCCTGCAAGATCCTCCATGAGTATTGCAGCAAGGCTACGAATCCGTTGAATAGAAGTCTCCACTAGGCTATTTCCAGCTGAATCATAGATCTTGGTTGTCCTCATTGTGGTCTTCAGACCAATGGTACTCCTCGCAGAAACCAACAGCCTCAAAATCTGCCGCAAAGTGGGCTCATTGTCTGCATAGTATTGCACCTCTCCATGGCCTAACACCTGTGTGAATGCCACCAATTCATGAGTGATTAAATTCATCTGATTCTTCGACTTCAGCGGAAGTGCCATCAAATAACCGGTCTCCGAGCACACTGCAACCATCAACAAGGCTCCCCCTTCATCTATTACGCCTGCTTGGACTTCATCCAGGGCACCTGATCCTCCAGCTCTTATCCTGCAGAAAGCAAAGGAAATTGTAGGCACTCCTTATTCTCTTGCTCGGCCGCTCCTGCGATGCTGGTCCTATTTGGCAGTTTCACGCATGAGGTGCACCATCCAGCATACGGGAGGTGAGTTAGCATATGCTTTCATTTCTCTTCTTCTGTAGGAGCTCTTACTACTGCTTGTTCCACTGGAATTCTCCCATCAAAGGTCTATCCTCTCGTTGCTAGGTCCCTTGCCAGATGAGCGATGAGCCTACCATAGCACTTGGTCTTTCCACCACTTTGCCCAATCTGATAGAATGAGTATGCTGCCCTCAAAATCCTTAAGGGATTCTCCATTGTCAATTCGATGCCATTCACCGTCACTGAGCTCGGCAGAGCCACTCCCACTTCATGATGGACTCTTTGATCATCTAGATTAACTCCACCATTCTCCTCTTGCTCAGCGGGAATGTCTACTCCGTCAAACTCTGCAAAATCCTCATCTGTACTAGCTTATAGAACTACCAATTCATCAAAAACTTCAGGCTTTGGTCTGGGCACTGCATAGTTCTCTTCCAGCTCAAAGCCAAAGGTTTCCGGCACCATGCCCTCTTCAGCCACGAAGGTCAGAATCTTTCCCCCTTCACAGCCTTGAAATTCTTCAATTTCTTCCTCCTGATCCAGGAATCTCATCATTGGTTCAGCCAATTTCAACCAATTCCCATCTGTCGTCCTTCTTCACCAAAGTCGACCTGCACATCGTTTCACTCTGATTTCGAAATTCTGGAATGAATTGCGGGCTCTGATGTCTTCCACAGTGGTGCACTCCCAACCAAAATTCATCCATCTTCTTCCAGCCGAATCCTTCTTCAGCTGTCTTGCTCAGCTCATCATTGAGCCTCTCCACCAGCATGCGGATTTTGCCCGGCTCAAGGACCACGCGAACTGCACCTTGGACAACCAGGCTCTGGTTCTGATACGCCAATGGCATCAATGGACCATCCGATTCTCTCCTTCAAAATCACCCTTCTCCCATTTCTACTGACCAGCACGATGTCCACATCCTTATGACCATAAATCCTGATCTGAGATCCTTGTGCATCTTAGAGATATGGTGATGCACCTGTCACCTATTTTCCCTTCCCCAACAGGTGTCCCGGGAAAAGAGATGCATCTGCCCCAAATTCCACAATGATGGAGACCATCGAACCTTCGTCAGATTCATC